CTCTTGCACATGAGGCTTAAACTGCACGAGACAAATGTTGTTTCAATGTAGTCCATACAGAACCACGAGAACACCCAAGTACCTTAGAACCCTCTTCGATTGATGTGCAGTGTTTCTCAGAAAATCACTGTTCCAACCTGGCGGTTTGTTCGCTGAAGGTGATTGTTCGTGGACACCGGGTTGTTTTGCAGGTAACGCACTCTCAGTTCTCAATACTCTTCGCATAGTGCCTTTGCACAACTTCCGGCATGGCTTCGGTCGCTCCGGATGATGAACGTTGAATTCCTTATATGCCTTTTTCCAATTGAGACATCCTAACTTCACCATCACTAGTTTTAAAACAGACCAATTCATTTAAAATCATAAACCAGAAGCGTCCCACAACCCCTTTTGGTTCCCATGACATTGACCCTGCTTTAGTGCACACACAATTGTCTCTATTTCCTTCACTCAGCAAACTGTCAGTGGCATTCTCGGTGGTAATACCTTTGTCCAAATAGCATTAATCATTGTACTCGTTGCGGGCTGCTAAGCTCAATATCGCAATCCAATCAACCCAACCTTATTCCCCCTGCCCCACTTATTGTTTCATCTTTCAGCCCTTCAATCTCTTTTCTCGGTTTAGTTACACAATCAATGATGATTAGTAATCGTACTCGAGAAGGGCCAACGACTTACGATTACATGATCTTAAAGGTCATTTCGTTTGCCAGTCTGTGGGTGTGTTCATGCGTGTGGGCTTATGTGCACTACCGCAACACTCGATTGCAAAATTTCGTCCCCGACTCTAAGGCAACCAGTGTGTCGTTCTGTATCAGTTACCCCCGTCCAGTATTCATGGAATGTGTCAACATCTCACTGCATTGCAGTCAACGCATAGATGCACATGCACGCCAACGGGTTGGAGGAAGACTGTGTGCGTATGCGCCTGTGCATTAAACCTTGGTTCAAGTTGCACAGAAAACTACGCTTATAAACTGCAACTTTGGACCACTGGTTCTGTCTGCAGTAGTGAAGATGAGAATTCGAATCCGGCCATTTGAGACTCTGACTATACCTTTTCAACTTCAAGTGAATCCACCGTAACTTCAAGTGCATCCGTCGTAACCTCAAGCGAATCCAACCAATCGCACTCCTTTGGGAACCCCACAGGATGATTAGTGTTTCGGCCGTCAAACGTCACCGATTGGACCCGATCTGTCTAAACCCCGTCCAGTCCGAATAAACTCACTTCCCCGTAAACAAACAAAGGTACTTTTTGAGTGAGTTACCGAGCGAGGATGAAAGTTTCGGTGGGGTGATGTGGCCTGTTCTCCCCCCCCCTCCCCACAAACCCGTTCCACCTGGGAACATTATGTTCGTGATCGTTGATCGGGTGTGCGTCATAGACGCGAATGAACGAACCCGGCGACTATTGACCTCTGTCGGCCGGGTAACGAAGCGAATCACGTCAAGATGGATCGATAAATCGGTTGCCATGCCCAGACGTGAATATCAGGATGATCCGTTACATGAGTGGAATCAGTCTCGGCCCCTTCATAACCTAGTGAGTAAATTTCATTGGGGTAGTGACTTCTTCAACTAACATCGATTGCTTTGAATAATGTGCGATTTTCTACATATTTCTGACGTAGATGAAAGATGGTTCCTCCTTCATCCGCAATGAAAACAAATCCAGTTGTTCCTGAGTATTTTGAATGAACTGGAATAGACTCCAATGACTGATANTACTAATTACACCCTAACGATAAGCAAAATGTCGACCTGCCCAACCTAGTCTATTGATTTTGCATGATCGTTCAGTTTTCACGATGCATGAACTTCCCGCCTCGATTTTTCTTTAATCACCACGTGCCCTGGAAAACACTACCTACCGACGGACTGCTTCTGTATGAAGTTATCGACAAACGCAAAGTGGATAACCAACACACTGTAATTGCAAATGTGCTGATAAGTCTACGAACTATCTAATACGCCCGGCTTATTGACCCCAATAATGATAGAACTTTCTGACTTATATCTACCATTCACAAAAACGTTCAGTGATTAGACAAAGATCAAATGTATTAAAAATCAAGCATTTTGATAGCTGTCGGATAATGTACACGAACATGGTTAGTTGCATGCTGACAATGATCCTTCGTGATATGAGACTTGGCATCACTAGCAATGCTTTCCAAACATGCCATCCTCCAGTCCTGTTGGTTCATTTGTCCTTCGGGATCACCCGTCATAATCTTGGCTTGCTGATTTCGGAGCTCCGTTCTGATGTAACTTTTCGTAATGCTCCATATCATTTCGATCGGATTCAACGCTGGAGACTACGGAGCAAGTCTGAGAATGCTTACTCTTCCCCCGGCAACGAAGTTTTCCACTTCAGGGTGACAGGGTGCGTTGTCACACACAATCATATATGATTTGTGCTCTTCTTGCAATAAATGATCAACTAGCGTTAGCAAACATAGCAGACACAACACGGAGTTGCATGATCCTCTTTTCAGAGCATAGTTTAACAACCCATCGGCATTCATAGTGTAGCGAGAAGGCGAGCTGGCTGGCTTTCTTGGTTTGCTCTTCTTTGTGAGCTAAGTAGTAAGTGGAATAAATCCCTGGTGGGCAAACCAAGATGGTGACCATGGAGCTCTTGTAAACCGCTTCAAGCTTCCCGAGTAGGTATCATAAAAGTAATGGCTAGAGACACTGAATGATATGTTCGAGGTTTGTACGGTTTGGCATTCGTGCATCTACCCACGTTCTCTATAAATATAATCTATCTTGTTCTCTGACTTCACCTGATTACTGCTTCCAGCTTTTCATTTCATTCCCTTTTGTATGATAAAGCTGAAGGCGTCTTGCTAGATTGGCCTCTAGTTGACAGTCGGTTGGATAGAGTGAGACTCAGAGTTTTGTTCAAAGTTAGGATTCGCCGCTCCGATAGACGCAACCGGATCATCCTCTCGGTGTAGGCTTCCGTAAACTGCAATCCAGATGCAATCAAGATATTTTTCACCGTAAGCTACATGACAGCTTGCCTAAATGCGTCAAGCTGACATCGTAATGGATATATGAATGCTCGAGTTGGTTGGATGTCTTTGAGTGAGGCGCATCTGGGGGGTCCTTTCGGACCAGATTGCTGTCGCTCGGCAAACAGGGAATGGTTGTTGACTCTATGTTCCGACCATCACCTAATCTTCGCCAGTACGAACTTCAAACAATCCAGTCGCGGATACGCCACCTGGTGTCCGCCCTTGTCGAGTGAGCGACGGACCCGGATCAANCACATTGCTGTAAGCCACAAATTCTATATATAGCATGTGATGACCGCGGCATTGCTCAACTTTCTTCCAGTCGATGCCGTTCATGGTTGAATCTGAGATCGGTAACTGTAAATCGTTGTAGGATGTTTGTCGATTCAGAAAACGGTGTACCGGAGGGCTATTTGAAATAAGGATCTATAAATATTCTCGTCAGGGCATGTTACGACTAACGAATGTGAGTTCTAACCGCCAATTGTTTACTTGGTGTGAGTCATAAATGTCCTTGGATAAAAAGAACAGACAGACCGGATGGCAGACTGCATTTACTTACCCCCGTCCTGTCAGGATCACTGTGTCATCATTGGTCAGCACTAATATTCGGTCCCTATTCGCGAAGCTGTCGGATTTAACCCCCATTCTCAACACGCATTAATTCCAACACATGTGTTGTATGTGTACGATAAACTTGGCTGAAGCAAAACGTTGAAGACGTGCTTGTGCGAATAGAAGGCTTTGATTGCCACCGGCAGGACAGACAACGAATTAGACAAAAATCGGGGTGACATCTTTTTATTACACACATTTGTGTGGTGAACAACAGACGGGGCGAACCCCGTAGTCACGAAGACCTGCTTCTCCGTCATTGAAACCGGTAACCTAAGCTCCGGGACTTGGAGCGGCGAATCACACAAGGCCCCGATAGGTTAAGCGTGGTATTGAACCGGACGACAGTAAAGCTGTCTACCCCCAAAGTTGGGTGGCTGTGGCGGGGCTCTAACCGCGGACCATAGGGTCCAAAGCACACCAGTGACAGCGACTAAACCACTGCTCCACCACCACCTTACAACCGGCATCAGTGCTTCCTGGTTCGGCCATTCAGAATTGACATATAACTATCCTGACTGTTTGTCTGTTCGTTGTCATCCCAAATTCTCCCGTTACGAAATTACAATCATCACTAATTTGTATCTATTTCCCTCGTGTTCTCAGGCGGAAATTTCTGCTTTCTTTGATTGCCATATCCCGTTTCTGGTTTCATTCTTAGATGAAAATCTTCACATACTTGTTGGTGATTTCAATCATGCAAGCATTTTTATCCTGCTTCCGTTTGGTCTGTCTGACCTTGCTCATTCTCCTACCAGAAGTAGTTCTGTGCTGGACAGAGTAATCACAAACCATCCCAACTTATTCTCTCTCGAATTAATGGCCCCGGTTTCTACCAGTGATCATAGTATTCCTCTCGTAGACCAAAGGTGTACTCTCGCACTGCTTATCAAACATTCATACGTTCTACTCAGATAACATCTCATCTGAGGGACTTTTCACCCAACTGTATCTCTCTTCTCAACCGTTCTATTGTGATTGTTCAGTCTTGGCTCGATTCTTGTCCATCGCTTTTTAAATGTGTCAGTCTGTTTATTAAAACGATTAAATCGTTCTTTCACTTGTATTGACCCATGAAAACCCTGTTTGTCGGTAACGGCAGAATTACCTCGCCCTTTTTGAAATCACTGAGAAAGCACAAAGAAATGGCCCTGATGGTCTTCCTCCGGCGCTTCTGCAATTCGGAGCAGCTTCCCTAACCAATATGATGACATCCGTCGTGAATCAGTCCCTATCTTCCCGTTTGATTCCTGATTCTTGGCGTCCAGTGACCATTAATCCAATCCCCAAATCTTCGTCCTCAACGGTTTCGTCCTGACCTCAGTGGCTCTAAAGTTGACTGAAAAGGCCATCCTGAGTCGATTACAGTCGATCACCACGATCACTTACGACCCCCTTCAATTTACATATAAACCCAACAGATCTACACTCGACGCCGTATCCACTCTAATCCATTTTATCAGTAAGTCATTGAACAGTTCGACCAAGTCTGTCCGTTGTGTTCTTCTTGACTACTCGTCCGCGTTTGATTATGTTTCTCCATCATCCTTTCTTTTCAAACTTGAATCTTTTAACACAGCTGCTCTCATGGCTTGCTGACCATTTCACAGCGAGGATCCAGTGCACAACATTAGGAAGGACATAAAAACCTTTTGTTAATAATTCTGGTGTTGTTCAAGGTACTGTTCTATCTCCATATCTTTCTTCTGTCCTCCGGTCCCACCCCCTGCACAAATCCAAAAGTATGCTAATGACGTTTTGTGCCAGACAATTTCATCTCTGTATGTCGATTGTGAAAAGTTCAGTAGCCTCGGTGGGATTCGAACCCACGCATGGACGCCGCCTACGCTTTGT